GTCTCTCCTGCCCCCCCACCTTTCAGGGGGCCCATGGCAGCCCCGGGGGGCCCGGCACTGGAGCCGGGCTGGCTCCTCTCCCCCGATGGCCGCCCCTACCTGGACTCCATCCTCCGGAAGAACCAGCGCAGAGTTTTTGGTGAGCCCCCCCACACACACACACACGCACGTGCACCCCAAAAATGAGGTACAAACACCCCAAAATTAACAACCCCTCCTCCTTTCTGCCAGCTCTGCTGGAGCACCCAGCCCTGCCCCCCAGCCTGGCTGCCCCCACCATCACCTACAAACTCTTCGTCTCCGGCAAGAGCGGCGTGGGCAAGACCGCCCTGGTGGCCGCGCTGGTGGGGACCCCGGTGCCCCCCGTCCACCACGAGACCCTGGGTATGTCACCTGTTTGGGGGGGCAGAGCACCACTGATGTCCCCTGGGGGTGACAATACGTGTCCCCCCACAGGTATAGAGGTCTCCACTGTGTACTGGCCAACACAAGACCGGGCCACCAACCGCCCCATCATCTTCCAGCTCCATTTCTGGGATTGCGGCGACGGGGCCCTGAGGAAGTTTGAGTATCTCCTGCCTGTGAGTCCACACACATATCTGGGGGAGGGGGAGGCACACACACACCGAGGACCCCCCCGTGATGGTGTTTGTGCCCCCCCAGTCTTGTAAGGAGGAGGCAGACGCCGTCCTCTTCCTCTTCTCCTTCACCGACCGCTCGTCCTTCGAGGAGCTGCCGGCCCAGATGAGCCGGGTGCTGGGCCCTGAGGAGGAAAAGCTCCTTAGGGTGGTCGTTGGCACCAAGTGTCCTTCTCAGGGAGAGGGTCCTGGAGGCGGGGGGGGAGGAGGGGGTCTTCATGCCCCTCATAAGCAGGTTTGCACCTCCATATTTCACCCTACTTGATGTCTGAGAATGTGCACAGCTCGTCACACCGATGGATCGGCAGCTCCTGTTTATTTTTAGGGGGTTTTGCCCCCGAGGGATTTCTTAGGGTGTTGGTGTCTCCCTTGACCGTGTGTGTCCCCCCACAAACAGGTTTACATCCCTGTAGTTCACCCCACTTGGTACCTCGGTATGCTGAGAACACACAAACTTCATCACCCCGATGGTTATGGCAGCTCCTGTTGAATTTTGGCTGGGCCTGGAGGGGGGGGAGAGATTGGGGTGTTGGTGTCCCCCTCGACAATGTGTTTCCCTCACAATCAAGTTTGAGTGTTGGTGTCTCCCTTGACCACGTGTCCCCCCCCAAGCAGGTTTGCACCCCTGTAGTTCACCCCACTTGGTATCTCAGGAGGCTGAGAACACACACACTTCATCACCGCGATGGGTTGGCAGCTCCCGCTGATTCTGGGAGGGGGAGGGGGGATTTTTCAGGATGTTGGTGTCTCCCTTGACCAGGGGTGTCCCCCCCACCAGATTCGACCTCTCCTCGCAGGCAGACGTGTCGGAGGGGGATGTGACAGCCTTCGAGGGGAGGTGGGGGCTGCGGGTGCTGCGGGCGGGCTGG